AGGACAACTCAGTTCTTCCCTTTATTGAGCTTTACGTGGGCAAATGCATTACTATGGTTGAGTGCAATTTCCCCAACTGTAAAAGAGAAATAATATTATCAATTTATGAGTTTTCTTTTCATAATGACATGAATTGCTAAAAATGTTTAAAGTAAGCAAAAGCCTTTAACTCATTCCCTAGCACAAGTTAAGTCCTAAAAAAATGAGTCCCATTAGCATTATTACTATTTTAGAAGTAGTAACACTGATATTATTACAGTGTCCTAAATCTAGAAGAGGATCTCAGAGGATTGCACATGTACTTATTTGTGACTATAGATCTTCGGCTTTGTAAGGAGAGGCTTCTCTCTGGGAACCATGACCTTGACTGGCAACAAAGCTTTCAGATCGCTATGTCCTGGTGGTAAAGGTCACAGGTCTTCAGCACAATTCAAGTCCTGTGCTACCTGTAGAGCCCACAGGAATTATGGGGTTCACCTTGAACAGATTTCCTCAGGACTTGGGACTAAGCAAATATTAGAATCCCAGGAGCAAAAGTTTATAATTTTAATAGAATATATTGTAATGTTTGTTTGCAAATCCCCCAATATAGGAATAAAAATTGTTTACTTGTACTCCAGTTTGTTCAGAATAGTTATAGATATACCCAATAATGTGTAAAAAAATGAAATCTGAGATATTCTCTAAAGAAGGATCCCAGTTAGGAATAAGGGTAAATTTTATTAACAAACAAACAAAAAATTAATCCCAGGACAAAATTATGGGGAAAATAAAAGAATATATTTAGTTCTTTCTTTCCTTTCACTTTTATTATAGTTTTGTAGGTTCTTTAACATCCCAATTAAAATGAATTTCAGTGCATTACTTGGCCAAGTAAATGAAAGTCAATATGTTGAAACAAACCTTAAGTCAAATAAAAGCCATATTGAGGAGTTCATGTGAATTTCATTAGTATTAGTTAAGCAGGGTGTAGTGAACTGCTGTAATATATCTGTACATGAACCACAGTAATATGGTTGTTTCATTCTTTTACTAATAGGAGTAAAAGTCAATCAGAATTAGTAATAAACATATTTTATAAAACAGAGATGACTTTTTCTTACTTTCTAGTAAGTACGGTAAGTAACACCAACTGAAAAACATAGTATCGAATAAGTCTTTAGAGAACACGGTTTGCTGACCAGATTAAGTTGTTTAACGTGTAAGTTGTCACCATGAACTTTCAGAGTTTTTAAGCACAGATTGTCCCCTTATGCAGTTTAAATATTTCCCTAGTCTTGCTTGCCCTATTAAACGTGCTTTCTTGTCCTAAAGAAAAGCTCTGCTAAGCAAATATTACTTTTAACCTGGGTCCCCTCCACAGGCTCCCAAACCGTGAATTAAGGGAAATAAAACAAATGTTGCTTACTGTACTGGATAAATAAAATGTTGACTCAAGTTATTTTTCATTGACCCTGAGTGGGAAGGAAGTAGATTCGAGGTTATTCATATTAAATACTGAATTAACTAGTTTGACATTTATTATTATTATTATTATTATTGGTTTGGGGATGGAGTTTGTTCTTTTTTCTTTTTTCCAAAATTGACCAGTAAATCTATTCCCTCAGTAATTGACTACTCTGGGCCAGACTCAGGCAATGAAGGTTTAATGGTCAAATTGGTTGCTTCTGTCAGCTTGGCCTTAATGTACATTCTCTTTCTGAAACATGTCTTTAGGAGATTTTTGCATGTGAAGCACAAAGTTGAATTTGCCCACACATTTTCATTAAGTGCCCTGAGAAGGAAGTTATTATGAAGCCTATTCATTCAGAGGAATGTTGTTACATGATATAAGTAGACAAAGGAGTGCTAATCAGTGCTGCTGCCTTGCTATGAAGGGAATCTTTTTTAAAAATGCTAACAACCATCTACAATTGAAAATAAGTGAGTCTATTAGATTGTCAAAGGTTTTTTAAAATTGATAAAAATTAATTTTGGCAAGAGTGTGAGGAAAGGGCAGCCTCTACACCATTATTAGAGATGTAAATTGGTATAATCTTTCTGAAGGGCAGACTGGTAGTATGTTGAAAAAGAAAAATTAATATATATCCTTTGACAGAAGTAGCCCAGATCTAGGAATTTCACCTAAGGAGTAATCACTCAGCTGGGGAGAGAGATTTGTATAAAGATGCTCAGTGCAGCATTGTTTATAAGGGGAAAATCCGAAACAACCAGATGTCTAATAATGGGTAATAATAGATACAGTGAAATAAAATTGGGTATGAAGATACAAAGGGATGTTGTGCTGCCATTAAAAATTGTTCAGTAGATTGAGATTTATTGCCATGGAAAGAGGCTTGTGAAATATTACTGAGTTAATTAAAGTAAATTATATAAAAATATGGTCAGATTTATGTAACATGATGCATGTTGTCTATATAATCTATAGATCTGTGAATAAAGAGATCACTGAAAAAGATGTTCCACAAAAAGATAAGTGCTTTTTTTGGTTGTTGTTTGTATTTTCCTGCACTCAAGAACAACTTTTAAAGAAAATAAGAAAAATATTAGAAATAGATAAGAATGCTTGATAACTTCCTGAAAGTAAAAAGATGAAGAGTTGGAGCTTAAGCAAGGCTAAAGAAGGAAAACATTTGGGAAATATTTTATTCCACTTTAAAATTTTTGTTATAATTTAATTCAGTTTTTTAAGCTATGAAAGTAACATGTTCATGGTAAAAAACAAAATTTAATAGGAATGTCAAACGTCTGTAAAGTGGAGTGCAAGTTTTGTGTATATGTATATGTTAATACACAATGGATTCATACGTATACAGACATATCCTTTGTTTCCTTAACTTACTTTTTTTTTTTAATGTCTCACGATCAGAAGTCCTAACTCCAGCTAATAACTGCTGAATTCATCACACACATTTCTGAACCAAACACGCTGGGCTGAGCGTGGGGAAAGAGGTGGACCCCAGAGGCAAATTGGGGTATGACCACTAACAAGAGGCTGAATGGATCCTAGTCAGCAAAATGTCCCCTCTAGAGTAAAAGACACTTGGGATGGGGACCGGAGAAGGAGAAGCCCTATGAATTTAACCTTGATATGTGATTATTAATGTCAAAAACTGGGTAGCTGCTCTGGACTGAATGTCTCCCCTTAACCCCCTTCAAATTCATTTGTTGAAGTCCTAATCCCCAGTGTGATGGCATTTGGAGGTGGGGCCTTTGGGAGGTAATTAGGTCAGGAGGGTGAAGTGCTCATGAATGGAATTAGTGCCTTCAGAAAAAGAGACACAAGAGAGAAGATCTCTCTCTCTCTCTGCCATGTAAGGATACAGCAAGTAGGCTGCTGTTTGCGAACCAGGAAGAGGACCCTCACCAGAACTAAATCAGCCAGCACCTGGATCTTGGACTTCCCAGACCCAGAACTATGAGAAATAAATTTCTGTTGTTCAAGGCACCCAGTCTATAGTATTTTATTATAGCAGCCTGACGTGTTATGGCAGATTAAGACAGCAGCCAAATCTCACTTTTTGAAAAAGTAAAGACATAATGAGAGAGAAAAGTATCCCCCATCTCCTATATTTCCCCCTATATTTTCAAGCTGTCTGTGGTTATTTGAGTGACGGTGTTTGTTTAGATGGGCTGGCCTAGAATGTAAAGTGAGTACTCAGGATAATTGACGATCGCTAACCCCTGCAGAAAGACCATCCTGTACCAAAAGAGCTGTGTGTGTGTTTTTTTAATCCAGTCTTTCTATTACTGGCTTTAAATAATGTGTCTGACAAGATTCTGCTTTTCTTTCTGTCAGCTGTTGGTGAACAGGTATTGGGCATTATTTGTGGGGCTGTAAATACATTACATGAAAAAACAATGAGTCCTTAAAAAATCAAGAGAAATGTCTCCGGAGACGTCTACCTAACATGGTGATTTATGTAGGTCTGGGAAAGAAGTTTCAGAACTTCCAAATGAATAGTCTGGATCATAAACTAAAATCTCTTCTAAATCTGCCTTTGCTGTAGCCCTTGGACACATTTCCCTTTCACTTCTAATCTGGAAGTTGGAGAATGTTTTTCTTGTTCAACTTAAATTGTTTAGTTAATGGTCTCAGAATAACTCTTGGGGGCATCCCTCAGCATAACATCTGACTGAATTTGATGTATCCATTGTGTTCTTGCTGAATTAACTGATCCCTGGGATTAATCATTTCCTTTTTACCAGCTAGAGATTGTAGACATTTAATGGATATACCTACGTCAGTCAATTTAATGAGTTGCGTTGTCTGAAGTTTGAAATATACTGATTATTCTAATGTTGAAATATAATCGACATTCGTCCTCACTACAGGTTTCTAAGTTTTCCAGGTTTGCCCTTCCTGCCTGCCTGAGGAAGGTAATTTAGCTAAAGCTTTTTTTTTTTTTTTTTTTTTTTTTTTTTTTTTAAGTCCTTTTTTTTTCCTCCCCTGACAGATTATTTTCTTTATTCAGAGAAAGCCTGCATTCTATTTTGAATGCTGGGAGAAAGCAGGTTTTTTTTTTTTTTTTTTTTAATTTAGTTATTCAGGGTCTGGGAACTCACGTGTATCTACTGGGTGATGTGCGGAAGGGGCTAAACAATTCTTGCATCGTTCACTATGGTACAGGTTAAGCAAATCATGTACTTTCAGTTTCTGTAACAGGGACTATTCTTTCGTCCTAGTAGGAATTGTTCCGTGGAGGATCATGCCAGTTAATCTCACCCTGGGGTATCTCTGGCAGCCTTGCAGTTGGAAAGGAGGGTGGGATGTTGACACGGCTGCAGCATCTGTCACTGGGTAGAGAGCCAGGGTAGAGTCAGCTGACCTGGCAGGATAGGCAGGGCCCCTGCACCCCGCCAGAGGCTGAGCAAAAGGCCAAAGGATGGCCTTCCCAGTTACAGGAGGACCATCCAGTCACCAAATACAGTCACAAGAAATTAAATGGACTCAAAGCTGAGTCATAATTCATGGGTTTTGTTTTCTGTTTTGTTTTCAGTTGTTTGAATTTATGAACTTCTTGGCTGAGAACGTCATCTTCTGTTACATGGGCCTGGCGCTGTTCACGTTCCAGAATCATATCTTTAATGCTCTTTTCATACTTGGAGCCTTTGTATCCTTTGAAATACAGAACAATGGGTGATGAGAAAAGAGAACAAACTACTTACCTTTAGTGATTATTCTGTTAACTTGTTAAAGTAATTTCCTCAGGTTTACTGCAAAGCTCAAATTCAAAGCAGACAAGTAATTCTAATTAGGGGTGGAAATCATCCTAAGAAATTGGGGCCTTTATTAAATGTTATGGTTCAGGATAAAAAGTTTGGAAAATACTGAGGGAAGTAAGGGGGAAAAACTAAAAGAAAATGACATTTTTTGAATATTCAAAATACGTTTAGCTCAAATTATGAATCATTTACATAAAGAGTATGTCAATCCAGTTTTTATATTTAATCTGCATTAGAATGTATCAGAAGACAGCCAGGATTTAGAACTTCAGAAATACTTTCAGTGCAAGATGGTACAAACTTTTTTTCCAGTGAGGACTTTGAAAAAAAGATAAGAGTAAAGATCAAGTGAAATTAACATGATAGATGTGCTTTCAATGTCTTAAGCACTGTGCACATGTAAGTTTATTTTAATAAGCTAGCCCCTTTCCTGTAAGTAAAAGGACAGGTAAAATCTAGACTTCAGTTTTAATGCAGAGGGCTTCTCTAGCTCTAGGTCTGGGGTATAAGCATTCCCAGTAGGAAGGGATGTCTATCAGAAAGGATACTGAGCCACTGCGCATGTCCCCAAGGACAGTCAGCAGCTGTTGTCCTTGTTCCCACCTGGAAAATGGGCAGATGCCCCCTAGGATCACAGGCAGATGATCGTAACAGCCAAGAGAGCCGAATCCTCTCTGGAAGCCAGGGTCCAAGTAAGCACCTGCACCTACCTCTTGTTCTCTTTTCATTGAGCAGTCAAGTGAATTTTCAAATTCCATCCGAAACCTGGATCTTAGAAGGAAGCTCCCTCTTCCCAAATAACTCCATCCCATTTGAGGACAAACTAGAATAGACAGACTATCAGGGAAGGAGTCCAAGATGTCAAAAGAGGAGAGATGACTACCACAAATATTTTCATAGATTTTTAACCTAGAAAGCTTGGAGTTTAGTGAAACACCTCGTAAAGCAGAAGTTGTATTATACATTTAGACAGGCAGTTCCTCTCAAAATTAAATCCACTAAAAGAAAAAAAATGAGTGAAACTTGCTAGGTTTAAGGAGTGTAAACTGATGGAAAGTAAGATGATAATCGTGAGCTGAAGCACATTTATCCTTTCTAAAGTGCTGCTTGAGAGGACGATGCCACAGCCTCGGAACGGTCTCTGCCTCACATTTTGCAGCAGAACTGAGTGTAGAGTCAGTTATCAGCAGCATAAACATGATGAGAAAATTTACAGTGATTGAAATGGTATTGGGTTAACAATTTTAAACCGAGTATATGTTCAAAGAAGACAGAGTTCTCTACTGTTTCTGGAAAGGAATTGACATTGAAAAATGAATTTTGGAAGCAACTTGGACGTACATGTATTGACATGTTTATTCCTGTTTTCTGGGTCCTAATATAGAGAAGCTTAAGGACATAATATTTAAAGCTCAAGAACTCTCACCCTTATTGCAGCAACATTTTCCTCAATGTTTCCCTGTGCTTATCCACAGCTAGCAATTTTTGTAGCCAGAGCATGCAACATATATCCCCTCTCCTTCCTCCTGAATCTGGGCCGGAAACACAAGATCCCCTGGAACTTTCAGCACATGATGATGTTTTCAGGTATGTGAACTACATTGTGTGTTAGTGCACGTCTTCTCTCGTAATTTCCCAGTACTTGGAAAACCATGAGGATACTTAGAGACCTTCTGGGGAAACATGACTTCTCTTTATCCCATTGTACATACTGCCATGTGGATATCCATAAGTTCTGAACAACAGTGGGATTTTTTGTTTTTTCCAGAAGAGAAATGAAATTAAAGGGAATCTTGTTGGAATGGCCTCAAGGTTCAGTATCTGCCAGAAACTGGCCTGGAATAGGCATTGGACTTTCCCCTGACTTATTTCAGATCAATTTTCACTTGGGAGAATTTGCATAATTTAATAATTTCATAAATTGCATACTTGCAGGTAAATAGTGTGTAAATGGTACCATTTTTGTTCAGTGTAAAAGCTCCTTCTCTTTAGAACCCCTGCTCCTTCCCTAATGCCAAGCTCCAGCAACTTCTTATGGTTAATACAAAAGCAAATCATATCTAAGTACGATCAGTTATTAGTTGAGAAAACAAGTGTTAATTGCACTCTCACCAAATGCCAAGAGCCGTTCTAGGCACAGGTGGATGAGATCGACAGGATCTGTGCTCTCAAACCATACCTGAAGGCTCTTTTTTTCCCAAAGAAAATCAACAAAATGAATTTGCTGACCCTGAACTACTCTGGGGATTCTGTTTCTCTCTGTTCAATTAATTTTCCTACCATCAGCCTTTTCTTGTTTGGAGACCTTTCCCCTTACACGCCTTCTATGTATTTGTGCATTTATATTACACTCAGAGATAGTTCATTGGAAGATGCGTGAGAGTAAAAAAAACTGCTTCAGTATAGAGCAAACAAAATTTGGGCTATTCAGGGAGATATGGAAAGA